AGTTTCAGCTGGGAACAGTGGCGGTGGGGGTAAAGCACGGACTCAATCTGCGGGACCAGCAGCTCCTGGAGCACTTGCTCACTCAGTGCAGGGCGTGCCCAGGCAGGGGCCACCTGCGCACCCCAGTGAGAGCAGTCCCTTGGGCTTCTGAGTGAGGACCTCTAAGTAGTGTCCTGATACCACACATTCACAAGAAAAAAAAATCACACAGGGAACTAATGGAGGAACTACTTTATTTTTTATTGTCATTGTGTATGAAATTTAAAATTTGCTTTGCTTTATTGAGATTAAAGAACAGGTATGACTACTTTTCACATTGGTAATTCCATGGAGATTGAATCAAATTAGAGATCTACCCACCTTGAGGAATCTGCACCTCGCCACTTCCAGAGAGGAAGACTTCCTGAAGAGACTCAGTCTGGTGCTTCTTTTACTGCAAGGGCCAAATACATCAAAATTACAGCACAAAGCAGGGGTTTGTCTGAGTCTTTGTGCTTTGGGTGGGTTTGCCACAGGGAGAGATAAACTGGGATTATTTTTAGGTAAATACGTGCACTTTTAGAACATAATTTTAAGTGAAATAAATCAGACGCACATGTTTAAATATCTCATTATTTCTCTTGTGTGAGAAACCCAAAGGATAAATATGGACCAAAGTGGAAGCTAGATATTGGGAGTCAGGAAAAAAGTGTTCAAATGAGAATGGGAACAAGAAAGCAGGGAGGGAAAGAAAAAAATAGGATAAAAGAAAAAATGGAAACAAAGTCTTGCAAATGGAAAGGGGAAGAATTGAGAAGAATTAAATATTTTATGTACAGGTACAAAATTCCTATGATGAATGTGATTCTTATGAATAGTAAATATACCAATAGAAGCTAGTTTTAAAAACAAAGAGATTAAAACCTTAGTTTGACCTCCCAAAACAATAACGAGTTTATAGGTATTTATTCTGTGCCTGTCATATACCAATCACTGTGCAAAGATGCAGAAATATGAACAAGGAAGAAATTTTCTACTTGCATGCAGCAATAAATTTATAATAAAAGGACACAATAAATAAATAAATAATGAAGAGAAAACTTTTGCAGACAACAAGTTTTGTAAATGAATGAGAATATCAGGTTATTATCATCAAGGATAGCAGTGTAGAAGAAAGGCACGGAGACTGACCATTCACTGCCAGGGAAACAGACTGAACAACAGCTCTCCTGAGGAACGTGACAGCCCCAAAGCGTCCAGCATGGTGGAACAGCAGCTAGACACCCATGAGTTGGAGGTGGTCAGATCATTCAGATGAACTCAGGAAGCCTCTTCAAGGTCCCCTGGTCATGTCCATAAGTTGGTATTTATTCTTGCTCTGCAGAAATTTTAATTTTAAAAAATGTCCATTCTTCTCTGTGTGACATTATCTCAACTAAGTTTCTCAGTGTCCATGGTTCTACTTATTTATCTTTGCCTGACTCAGACTGCACTATTGCACACAACTGGTACTTGAACAAGAACTTTTCAGCTGTCCATCTGGATTTACTATTTGAAATGCTATCACAGATTCGGTTTTCTCATGTAGAAGAATAAAATAAATTCACATCAAGGTTATCATGGATTTATTTGTTTAAAATGTACTGAATTGTTATTATGGTTTTGATCTGAAAGGTCTCCAAATGTCTCATGGCTGTAGCTGGGGCATAGCAGATCACTGGCATCATGACTTGAAAGGGTTCACTCTCATTCACAAAACTGGCTCCTGCCTTTCCCATCCCTGCATCATGGCTTGCATGGATTGAGTGCCTTTTTCCTGCCTGTGGAACCGCCATCAAGTTCTTGCCTTGGAGTCAACTACTGTGGCCTGAAATCAGGAGTCAAATAAATCTCAGTTCTTTGGATGTGTGACTGTTGGGTATTTTCTCCCAGTGATAAGAAAGTGGGCAAGGCAGATATTCGTACCAGAGAAGAGGGGTCATGCTCTCATTGTATCTGACCATGTGGTACAGAAACTCATAGTCATGGTTTTCAGGAGTTTGGGAAATTTGGGAGATTCCTGCTAGACCTAGAATGTCATAAGCTGAGTTTGATGGGAGATGCTCGTCAGAGATCTGAAGACCACAATACTGGTAGAAAAGTGCACAGTTAAGGCCAGGCTCAGGAAGTTCAGTTGGGAATACAGACTCCATTGGCAATTGGACTCCAGGCCACATGTGTTGTGCTCTGGCAGAAAATTTGTCTACACTTTGCTCATGTCTGAAGACTTGGTTGGAGACTGAGAATAATGTGCAGTAGACTAATTAATCTGACACAGAAAATCTCAAGGTGGACCAGGTTTCAGTCTGTGGCATGGGTACTGCTGGCTGCTTTTAGCCAGATTTCTGGTGTAAATGAGGAGAAGATGGTACAACTGAATTATCTGACCTTGGCATCTGCAGTATAGTGCTGGTTTTACAGGCATCCAAATGCAAGAATTCTGTGGTCATGAAGGTGTCCACCCAGAATTCAAAAGAAGGCCTGGGAGAACATTTAGTGTGCACCTTAGAGTGCATGGATGAAGCTATGAGAGTGAAAGCAAAAGTAGAGTAAGGAGTCCAGGACATTGGAGACAGCAGGAATCAGTAAAACCTGAAGAAAGCCATGGGTGTTAACTCAAGCACCCAAGAAGCCTTGTAGGATACAACTGGCAATAACATGAAGCCAGGGCTGCCCAAGTCCTTTGGAGCTCACATCTCACTACCACCAGCCCCAGGTGCTGGAATAGAACTTCAGGATTTAATGTTTTCCTTTCTGAGATTTGATTTTGCTTTGGACTGATTATTTTCTGTTCCTTCCTTTTGGAATTGGAAAGTTTACCATGAACAGAATATGTCACCAGTGTTTAACTATTTTTTTGTTACAGAGATTCATAGCTAAGTGCTTCCTTTGAGTAACAGAGGAGACTTTGGAATTGGACTTTCCAACAATAGTGAAACGATTAACACTTTTCCAACTCTTAGAGATGGACTAAATGCATTGTTTATAATGAGATGAATGTAAGGATTTTGAGGGTCTGGGGCAGGATGTCATGTTTTCTTTGTGTATAATTTCAAGTCTATGTACATACACATGAAAATTGTAGCACAGTTAACCCCTCATACTCGTTATTAACCCCTCACTCATTATTAATATTGCTTCCTCTTTTTCTCCATCACTTAGCCCTCCCTCTCTCTGTTTTCCTTATTTGTTGAAAACTTTGTGACCATTTCCTCTAAATATTCCATCATGTATTTCCTAATATGAATATTCTCCTATAGGTAAAAAGTAGTTATCAGCTTTAGAAAATGTAGCATCAACGCAACACAATTGTGTAAGGGATCTGAATGGTCAAAGAGGGCACAGATGGAGAACATTCAAAAACACTGAAATAATTCTTCAATAAGAGACAAGTATGGGATGAGATCTCATCATGTGAGAGTCTGAGGAACAGTCCCATAAGATCCTGAATGTCTGGTATGCAGAGAGAAGGAAAAGAACCCACGAGAACTCACAGTGCCTGTCTCAAAAGGCAGGTCTCCTGCTGCACATTTTCTTCAGAGCTTCTGTGACGTCCTTGTTCCTAAGACTATAGATCAAAGGATTCAATACAGGAGTGAGTATTGTGTAAAACACAGACACCACCATGTCCTTCTCGGGGGTGTGGTAGGAGCTGGGGAGCATGTAGGTGTAGACAGCGACACCGTAGAAGAGAAGGACCACAGTCATGTGGGAGGAGCAGGTGGCCAGCGCCTTCTTCCGGCCCTCTGCCGAGTTCATCCTGAGAACAGTGAGAAGGATGAAGGTGTAGGAGCTTGAGATGACTGTCACAGGGATGAGGAGCATGAGGACACAGCACAGGTACATGAGCATCTCATAGAGCAAGGTATCTGAGCAGGACAGCTTCGTCACAGCAGGGACTTCACAGAAGAAGTGATGGATCTCCCGGGATCCACAGAAGGGGAAGGTCATGGTCACAGGAGTCAGCATGAAGCCATCCACCGACCCCAGGAACCAGCAGCCAGATACAAAGAGGAGACATACTCTGTGGTTCATCAGGATGGGGTAGCGCAGGGGATGGCAGATGGCCATGTAGCGGTCGTAGGACATGGATGCCAGAAGAAAAAACTCTGAACCAACCAGTGTCAAGTAGAGGAACATCTGCAGCCCACACTCAGGGGCTGAGATCTTGTTCTCACCCAGGACCTGGTCCATGAGCATCTTGGGCACCGTGGTGGAAATGTACATCATGTCCATGAGAGACAACTGGCTGATGAAAAAGTACATGGGGGTGTGGAGGCGGGTGTCAGAGCGAATAAGAAGGGTCAGGAGTGCATTTCCAGACAAGGCCATCAGGAAAATCACAAGGATGACCAGGCAAAGCAGAGCAGGGTGTTTGGATTGACGGAAGAGTCCCACCAGGATGAAGTCTACCTGTCCATTGTGGCTGAACCTTGAGGTGGTGTTATCCATAGGGTTTCACTTAGACAATGAAGAAAAGCTTGGGGTTAATGTGGTGTGCCCCCTCAAAAGACTGCTTAGTGAGCATACTATAGGCATAGGCATGAACCTGATTGCTCTAGCTAGAGGAAGCCCCATAGGCGTGTGGATCATGCGGATAAACATATATTATGTGAGTCTCAACAGATTAGAAAATGAAAAGAAGCTAATAGCTCACAGCTGTTGGTCAAATTAACTAGTGATTGATAGTGCAGTTCCACACTTAAAGGTCAGGGACTTCATGACGATACTGGGGTGTATCAACAGGTTCAGAGTTTGCACAAGATCACTGCGCCTGCTAACATAAGCAACAGGGGCTGCAAATAAGAGAAGTCAGATTCCTGATTCCTTCAATGTTCAGTATTAAAGTATGAAATAAATTCAATCTGTATGTTTTTAAGATCTAATTAGGTATTAAAATGGACAGATGTATATTCCACATACGATATTTAAAATAACTGAAATATAATTGCTTGAAATTCACTAAACACATGAAATCACTCTGCTCATTGGATCAGGCCATTCTGGGAGAAGCTGCGCTGTGTGAAGTGATGCTCACATTCCCACATGCAGGGTGGAATCCTCACCCAGGAGTGGAGCCTGGAGACCAGAAGGGCACGGATGAAGGTCTTCTAGGAGGCCAGTTGTCAGCCACAGCTCAAGCAGACTCCAACCTTCCAGCTTCTGTCCACTCTGCCTTAAAAAGGAAGAGAATAATATTTGACTTGAGGATCAGATGAGGCAAAGTGAGGAACACTCTTAGCAGAGAGCTAGACACAATGAATAAACGTGTGTGCTTTTGGTTCACATCTGCTCTAGACAGTCTGCAGAGGCGACCTAAGGAGGGCTCACTGCTGCTGTTCTATGAGATGCTCTGTTCTGTTTCCCCATCTCTCCGCCCTCCCTACGTTCAGTACCTTGGTGCTCAGAGCACTGAGGGAAAGACCTGCAAATAAAGAAATTGAGCATAGCACTCCTCTGAAAAAACAAATTCACATGTGATATTTTTTCTGTTTTAGACCTTTGCTTATTTTATATAAATTTATTTTCAGAAACATATTTATATGAGCCTGTGTGTATATACATATGTATATGTGTAACCCCATTAAATATAGTTTCCTGCAGAATCCTTTGTCCGGTAGACAGATTTTCCTTCAAGCTCATCTCCATGAAGCTCTTACCGTTTGTGTTAAATCTGAGAATGAAAGTAGTAGAATTTAGGGGGTCACTGGTGTTTACCAGACAAGACTTCAGTTGGTTTTGCAATCACTCTTGGTATTACTGATTGCTGTAGGACATTTTTCTTGGAAAATGTGGCACAGAGAAGACAACAGAGCACCGCTGAACTATCAGCGTCAGGACCTCCTCCAGCTCAGAGCTCACCACCGGAGTCCAGCATGGGCAATAGAAACACACCAAGAACACTTTCCCCTTGGCTGCAGGTGGGGATATCTCGTAATCTATTTGGGGAAATATTACAGAAATGAGACTTAAAATAGAATTTTAAATGGCTAAAAATAAATTAGGAAACCAATAGACATAAAATACATCTTGCTTTTCTGCAAAGAATCCATAAAGACTTCTTCTCTGTGCTTTTTCTTGAAGACACTAAACATCTCCAAGTTTCTCAAATGTGAAATATTAAATGTCAAAAAGCCTTACCAACAGGAGGGCACAAATATATCCTCTTTCTGAAAAGACTTAGCAGTGTTTAACATTTGTGACTTCTTCAAAAAAATTACAGTTTTCAAATACATTTTATGACCTTGTAACAATTCCAAAATTGACTCAAATATTTACCTCACTAATGGTACTTTTTTCTCAGCTGATGAAGCAGTAGATGATACACTGATGATATAAGGATTTAGAAAACCTGAGACAGATTGCAGAAGGTGGATAAGAGGAGACAGATGCACAGACAGACACACAATACAACTTCCTTTCTATCAAATCCTATGTCCACTGGCAGATGGAGACTGAGCTCTGCGGAAATTTTAAAACTTCCCAACAAACTACAAAGCACACCTGCTGATCTAATCTGTATTTGCTCAGAGTGACCTGAGTACTGGAGTAGCGAGCAGCATGTGAGTGCCCCAGTGCCAGTGGCTGAGTTAACAGAGGGGGCGCACGAGGCAGGCGAGGGCAGGAGGGGTGTTGGGAGCATCTCTGCTGCTCCTTGTTCAAGGGAAGTCACGCTCATCACCCACACACAACACCACTCTGGACACCAGATTGACCAAGGGACACTGTCTCTGTCACACATGGGGACTGAACTTCCTGATCACTCTTCTGTTCTGCCCACCTCCTTGCAGTTCAAGCACACAGTGTAGTGCATGTTGCACCTGGGAGATCATTACCGGTGCTGTGAGCTGACGCTGAGCACTGTTTGACTTTGAGATCATCCGGGAAGGGTTCTCAGCTTTCCCACATTTCTTCTTCCTCAAGAGCCTGTCAGTGACTGATTTATCTTATTTTCCCTCACAGATTTCAAATTCAAGTTCTCAGGGTATTTTTCCATGTCATTGCAAAACTAAAGGGAGGGAAGGTTCATGTGGGACACTCAGCGTGTCACTTCCCCACTCCCTTGGAAACACCGTCCTTCCGCTGTAGGTCACAATCTGTGTCCAGACTGAGCACTGTCAGCTTCACCAGAGAAAGACAAATATAACTGAGATCAGTGTTTCTTGCTTTTCTATAACCCTCCAACATCATCCCCTCTTGAAGTATAACCGTCACTTCTCTCTGTAGAATTTCAGTCTCGGAAAGCAAATACATCAGATGGACTACCAAACATAAGGAAGAAACATGTACTGATTTGTTCACAAATAACTGGAAACCAAGTGCTTATTTCTTACTGTTTTACAATAAATAAATACTATATGAAAGTTTTGAGAAGAAAGCACATTTTCTTTTAAATAAATGATAGAGAAAAACTAGGAAATATTGTCAAGAACCAATACAAAGTTTCAGCAGCAGATTGACGAGTCAGGAGCAGCAACACAACTACCTTCTGTTCCCTCAGTGTCTCTGCCTCCCTGAGAGGGTCCTGCAGCCCCAGCCAGGCCGGCTGGTGGGTGTGGACATTTAAGTGCGCACAGAAAGCTGATGTCACCCTGAGCTTCATTACGGGCTTGGATAAAAGTTTATGTGAAATTCTCTGTGGACTTTACAGAGGAAATCAACAGAGAGAACTCTAGAGGAGAATAGGAATCTGCCCTACGGCTGTGGTTTTCTTCTCATGTGCTTTTTAAAATTTTTCTTGTAAAATTCACAGTCTTGAAGGTTTTATACTGTTATCTGCTTTTTCTTTGTAAGAGAGAATCTGTTATGCGTATTTCATGTACTCTGAGTGACTAATTTGAAGATATTAACACACACTGCATTCCCTATTGTTATTCTCTTATCATTTTATTATGAAATTTTGGGTTTTTTTATAGAATAAAAAAATCTCAAATATCTCCATTGTCGATAATATCTTATCTATAAAATATATCAGCTAACCATTGTAGCCCTTTAGCCTTTTTTATTTTCTAAAGTCATATCCAGTTATAGTATACAATATACGGTTTGAAGAAAACATATATGTATGATATACATACATATTATGTAATTTTTAGATATTTTTATGTTTCAAATACACAATCACAATCTGAAATAAATTCAATAGCCACATCAAAGACATAACCACTGCTCAGCACTGTGGTTAGACTTATGTTGATGTCAAATTCCTCACACTTCCCTCTCCCCCACTCTGCATTACTAATTGTACTTTGGTGTTGAATTTGATTGTAATGTATTTGCTTTTTACTTTAACTATTAACGTGCAAATTACAGGAAACTTTAAAACCAAAAACTGGTTCAATGAGAGTTTTAAAATCAAGCATAATATAAGTGCCAGGTGAAATCGCACTTTGAAAGTTGTTTTGCTGGAACTTGAAGACAGGAGCCCTGAGGCAGCTGGCCCTCACGAGCTGCTCCAGAAATCAGGTCCAGGAATCTGGGACAGGGCTCTGGGAGGAGAAGCCAAACCAATGGGATACAGTAGACTGAGGCTTGAGTGAGTCAGAAACAAATGAAACCCCGAAATCCAGGTATTTATAAAGACCTGAAGGCCCCAAAGGCAGCACTGTGCAAGGAAGTTTCCCCCCAAATGCCAGGAAGAGCAGAACCACACCGCACACTTGTGAGTCAGACTTTGCTACTGGACAGAGAAGCAGCCCGATTGGAAAAATTATCTGAGCCCCTAAGTGAGCATCCCAGTGTTTTCATCTGGGCTTAGTGCCTGCTCAGGGAGCCGGGCTACACACCTTGGGCTGCCTCAGCAGAACTAGCAGGATGTGGAATTCAGCAGGGCTGCAGGGGGGCGCCTGACCCCCCTCCCTCTGCTTCTGCACAGGGCATGAGACAGCAGAAAAGCCCCATTCTTTTGCATCTCCATGTTGCAGCAGCCACTCCTCTCCTAGGAGGCAGTGTCACCTGTCCTAATAGCAAGCTTGGGCCCGGGAAAATGCTGTCACAGAGGAAAGCTAAATTAATGGGGCGGA